TGTCAAGGGCAGACAGCACCCTGACATACCCGAGGTGGTGCTACACAAACTCTACGGTTTTTATCAGCCATATGACATTGAACTTCGGCATTTGCTGAACAGAACATTTTCGTGGATGGGGAAGGATTCTCTATAATGTTACAAAATAGTGAATTTCTTAGTAAGTAGATTGTGCAATGCCCAGCACATTCAACACTGCGATAAAGACTTTCCATTTTCGACATTGTGATATTCTTTCGTTTTTATGCAGAAAAAACAGTATTTTTCTACAATCATATTTATTTATTTATTTAATTGTTCATGAGTTGTTGAACACACTAAATAGTTTGTAATTTCATTCAGCTACTTTCAGTCATAATTCAAGACAAATAAAAGCCAAAATATAGAGAATATAGCACATCTTTTTTTGGAATATTCTTGTGTAATCAGTAATCATGAAAATGATGTATGGGTGCAGAGGGAATACATTTCGTTATGAATTAATTTTAATATAAATTTCTGAATTATCTTGTCAAAAAGCAGTTTTTTTTAGTTTTTTTTTCTCCCAAAAAGGAAAGAATTTCACAATGTTGAAAACGAAAAGTCTTTATGGTACTGTTATTAGTACGTACCATTGCGATTCAACCTCGTTGTTTTTCTATAGTATTATTTGTACGTGGTATAACTGAAGCAGAAAACAATATTATAATAATACGTCTTTTGTGTCCATACGAGATGAATGGGTTACTCGGGTTAGAGTGTCAGGTCCAATTGTGTAGTACTTAGCAGTCGGTTCAGTTGTTCCATGCTGTACTAGGTCAGATGAATAATTGAGATGTGTGGAGATGGAACCAATGATAATATATAAGTACATTTTACAGATATATATATACGTTGAATAATATATAAGACATTATTCATTTATTTAGTTTATTTAACAACACATGTATTGAGTTTGAACAAGGAAGGTAGAAGTTTTTAAAAAAAAAAAATTTAAAGTATCGTCATCCCGAAAAAAGTTCACACCCTGGCTGATTTTTTTTTTCAGGAAGGAAGGGAACAAATAAATCTTTCAAATGTATATTCAGATATACCGACGCTGTGGCAGTGACAACAACTGGTCTGACTGTATTCTTTTACCATCTTCAGTTTCCATACACACCTCCACTGCAATGTACCATTCTCCACAATCTATGAGAAATGTATATCCCAGCTTATGTTGAATGTTAGGCCAGACTTTTATTATTCCTTGTTTCGCAAACCCGCCGGATGAACAGGAACCGAAAATGAAATAAAAATAAAAGTTTATTTCAGCGTAATTTCTCCCGCCCGCCGACTTGTAAGTGCAAAAAATTGCTAACAAAAATTATTTTTATCTTCAATTTTTTTTCCGCCCGCCTAACAAATCCAAGTTGCATTTTCGTGGGAGTGTCATGATCAAAGTATACTTTATGCGCGTTGGTTGACAGTGAATCTCGGGTATTGATCTCTGAGTGCTGCTTGAGACTACTACGCCATGAAACTCTGTCATTGATGCTGAAAATTGTGCCAAAATTGGCGACATTGCCAACCAGGTTATACATGGAATAAAACTTTATTTAATTTCTACTCTCCGATCGATGATCTCACTTACAATTCTTTGAGAATCACACAAATCTAATAAGAAAAAAGAATTAATTAATGTTTTTCTGCCCTCTTCAAAAAAATTTACTCATAAAAACTTGAGAAACAAGAAATACAAAAAGTCTGGCCTTACCCGGAGGAATTCCCCCGAACTAGTACCGCACCACAGTCAGCTGGCGCACATCTGATATAATAAAATAAATGCGATATTTACTATATGGGGGCCGCCATCTTGAATGACGCATAAAACTAAATAAGTTCATTATGTATGTGAGTATATCTAGAGGAGGCAAGGGTTATTTTTGTTTATCGTAATTGCAATATTGTTTTGTTTGTACAACGTAAATTTTAAAAAAAATTCTGTAATTTTGTAAGTCACAGGCTAGACATACAACGTAATCAATAAAATATTTATTTTCGTACACTGTAAAAATGTGTCATTTTCTCGGTACGTACACGAATTTACATCCAAATAAAAAAGTCGTAAAGAATAATCCAGGGAAATTACATTTTCGAAACTTTTCGAAAACGTCTTTTTTTCCTTGTAAATTGTAAAAAGCCCTTTTTATTTCCCGTAAAACTGTACCCGCCACCTCTATCTAGGTATATATTGGCCTATAATATGATAGTGATGAACGGGGTGTTCCAACTGATTACTGGAAAGACATCACGATGTTCATTTATTTATTTATTTATTTATTTATTTATTTGTCTGTATATTATGTTTCTTTATCGATTTATTTGTGAATGAAAGAGCTACAACATACACGCAAAACCCACAACTATACAGACATGCAACATATAGAAGCATATTCGAAAATGGAAATAACAGTGCTTATATGCCTGGTCCAATCTACGAAAACATATTAAAACAAATGTGCAGGCCAAACAAAATACACAATTTCCATTAAAATGAATGAATAACAGCAGATTTAATACTAAATTAAAAAGAAAAAATATCATTAAAACATGCAATTATTTTTCGCAATGTCTGAAGTTGAATCCGGGTTTGAAAAGTGTTATAACAACACATTATATTTTAAAATGGTGGGTGTATCATAATGCAAGTGACAACTGAGTATGCTACAATACTAATTGTACATACAAAAAGGAGGTTCTGCCGGCCACATAGTATACAATATCAACAAGAAGAAATAATAAATCAATTTTACAAATTCAAATAAACATGAGCTAAGCCACAGCCATCAATTCTAATTAGTTTTAATGAGCTTTAATAAGGTTAATATTTGCATGGCCGGTGTATGACTATAACTGAATGTACTATTGCATTCAACTCGCAAATTATTATAATTCCACCAGGCTGCCGTACTGTAGCTTATACATAAATCACGCATTTAAATGGTTGTATGGTAACACCATCAACATGCGATTGGTTCCTCGTCTTTTCGCTATACTTTTCACTTCTAGTCTCACTTTATATTGTTGTCTATCTATCCGTCACAAACACCTTGTTGAAGATGATATACTCAGATCACAGGATACTAACATTACTGTGCGTACTAGTGTGTTGAAGAAGGTAGCTCGACCACAGACTTTACCGTCTGATGTTGGCACGAACCTCACTGCGTACATCAAGGCAAAGTTTGGAAACACATGCTATAAAGAAGAATCATTCTCGCAGTGGTGGGCGAATAACACCCTATCGAATGAACTGTTAGTGGACAATCTGATTGGATGCAGAAGATCTATTTCAGATGCCTTCATAGTTGGCGTTAAAAAGTGTGCTACAACTGCACTCCGAGATGTATTGGCAATTCATCCATATATAATGCATAGACCAGGGGAAATCCATTTCTACGATCGACACTTTCATGAAGGTTACTATTGGTATCGGAAACAATTTCCGTTTTCCAAAAAATGGCAAGTAGTTCTGGAAAAGACTCCGCAGACATTCTCGTTTCCTGAAGATGCCCCCAAAAAGATGGCTGAACTTAATCCCAAGACAAAGTTAGTCGTGATTCTCTGTGATCCTGTCGTCAGGGCAGTTTCTGACTATGTACACGAACAATACACTGAATCATATAAAAGATTCAACCCTCCCTATTATAGAATCAATGAACAATCTTTTGAACTGTCAGTTTTTAACGCATCGGGCACAATTGACATTGACAATGACCTCGTCAGGAAGGGAATATACTCGAAACACCTGAAGAGGTGGTTGGAATATTTCCCTAAAGAACAAATCCATGTGGTTGATGGTAATGATTTTAGTTTAGATCCTGTGTCAGAAATAAACAAAATTGAAACATTTCTGAGACTGCCAAACTTTCTGCTGAAGACACATCTGGATTTTGGGCCAGACTTCTTCTGTATCGCTTTTCCTGGTGTTCGGTGCCCAAACATGAATGTCAAGGGCAGACAGCACCCTGACATACCCGAGGTGGTGCTACACAAACTCTACGGTTTTTATCAGCCATATGACATTGAACTTCGGCATTTGCTGAACAGAACATTTTCGTGGATGGGGAAGGATTCTCTATAATGTTACAAAATAGTGAATTTCTTAGTAAGTAGATTGTGCAATGCCCAGCACATTCAACACTGCGATAAAGACTTTCCATTTTCGACATTGTGATATTCTTTCGTTTTTATGCAGAAAAAACAGTATTTTTCTACAATCATATTTATTTATTTATTTAATTGTTCATGAGTTGTTGAACACACTAAATAGTTTGTAATTTCATTCAGCTACTTTCAGTCATAATTCAAGACAAATAAAAGCCAAAATATAGAGAATATAGCACATCTTTTTTTGGAATATTCTTGTGTAATCAGTAATCATGAAAATGATGTATGGGTGCAGAGGGAATACATTTCGTTATGAATTAATTTTAATATAAATTTCTGAATTATCTTGTCAAAAAGCAGTTTTTTTTAGTTTTTTTTTCTCCCAAAAAGGAAAGAATTTCACAATGTTGAAAACGAAAAGTCTTTATGGTACTGTTATTAGTACGTACCATTGCGATTCAACCTCGTTGTTTTTCTATAGTATTATTTGTACGTGGTATAACTGAAGCAGAAAACAATATTATAATAATACGTCTTTTGTGTCCATACGAGATGAATGGGTTACTCGGGTTAGAGTGTCAGTCCAATTGTGTAGTACTTAGCAGTCGGTTCAGTTGTTCCATGCTGTACTAGGTCAGATGAATAATTTGAGATGTGTGGAGATGGAACCAATGATAATATATAAGTACATTTTACAGATATATATATACGTTGAATAA